TTTTTTTTGGTACTGGGGATCAAACTCAGGACCTTGCACTTGCGAGGCAGGCACTGGAACCACTGAGCTAAATCCCCAGCCTTAAACCAATATATTTTTTTTAAAAATCAATAAATCAAGATAGAATCCTTTAAAATGTTCAAATAACCCATAAGAAGGTAATAAGAGAGAAGTTGAAGAACAATAAAAGGAACAAAGAGGAAACATAATAAAATGGCAAGTTATCAATTAATGTAAATTTACCAGTAAAAAGACAGATATGGCACAGTAGATTTAAAAGAATATGCAGCAATACGCAGCCTACAAGAAATTCACTTCATATACAAAAACACAGGTAGACTGAAAATATAGGGGGGAAGATATATGATGCAATGAGTAATAAAAAAGAAAAGAGCAGAAGTGGCTATAATAGTATAAGGTAAACTTCAAGGCAATAAAAAGTGGCTAAAGACAAAGAGGGACATTATATAGTGACTTAAGAAACCAACCCTCCAGAAAGATAGCAATCCCAAATGTACATATCCCACATAACAGTGTGTTTCTTAGCTTATCTTGCTTACATAAAGTTTATGTTCATATCTTTATTCTAAGAGACAATAAAAGCAGTTGATGTTTTAGAATGCCTCCAACCAAGCTTGTTTCCCCCAATAATGCTGTTTCTTCAAGTACACTTTGCTTCGTCTTATTTTGTCTGTATCACAGTAGGCAGAGTTGACAAGAAAATGTGCTGATGTCTTTGTTCATATCTGTCTCCAGTGATTCCACAAAGCAGTAAGTGAAGAGAAGAGCATGAAGTACTGAACTCCTGAGCCCTGCTCCTTCCCACAAATGCTGCTTGTGTTCACCTCCTCCTTCATCTGCAAAATTGGCCGATACTGTCCTTTAGAGGAAATCATTCCCAGGTTAGGATCTGATTCTGAATAATGCCTTGCATTTATTGGGCTGCTTAGTCTGTTTAGTTTGGGGCGGTCCTTGCCTTTGTTTGCATGATACTGACGTTTGTGAGGAGACCGTTGTGCTATTGGCAGTTCCTCACTTAGGGTCTGATAGTTTCCTCATGACTCAGGAAATGTATTTATTGGCAAGAACACTGAATACATGATATGTCCCCAGGTGTCAGATCAGGAGGTAAATAATGTCAGTTTGTCCTATTATTGCTAATGTTGGCTCTGATCTCTTGGCTAAGGTAGTATCTACCAGATTTTTCCACTCACAAGGTATCTTTTTCCCTTTATGACTTGTGGAGTCTTCTATCAATGTTGTTTGATAATTGTTTCTTTTGATATGTGTAATACACACCTTACCAGTAGAAGGCAAATTCCTTCATTGTTTTTGCCTGTCAAAATGTCAACTCCAACAGGATGCATGCCACTTTCCAGAGAGGGGTGATAGCACCTCCACTATTTTGCATGGTCATCTGTTGGCACCAGGAAGCTGTTTTTGCACAGGGCCGCACACTCCATAGGCTGAATGCAGGCAGCCCCAGCAACTCCAGTAGTGAAATCCATTTTCTCCATTGCAGTAGTCTGGACAGATGACTGCTTTTCTGAACCAGCTCTCAGCAAAAAAGGGGCATTTTTCACCTGGGCACTCACTACACCCCCTACAGCTATGGCAGAGGAGGTAGCATCCCCAGGTGTTTTTGCTTATACTCTTTTTAATGTCTAAATAAAAAGAATAGAAAGAAGCCTTTGTTTTAATGCACATGAATATGTACATATACTTTTTTGTTATCTTAGAATTTTATATTTGGAATTGATAATTGAATGAGAATGTTGCATAGGTCCACCAATAAAATATAATCTGTTTATTGGCTATCTTAGCTACTTTTCTTGTTCCTGAGACACAATACCTGATACCCACAACTCTAAAGAGGAGAGGTTTATTTTGGCTCACAGTTTGTAGAGGTTTCAGTCCATAGTCACCTGGCTTCAAGGCAGGGTGGCATGGCAGAGGATATGGCAGAGAAGAAACAGTCCATGGCAGGCAGGATACAGCGAGGAATCAAGGGAGGAGGAGGGAGACAGACCCCTCCAGGTCATCCCCACAGTGACCACCTCCTCTCACCAGGTTGTATCTCCCAACATCACATTTAGCTACAAACCCATCAGTGGACTAATCCAGTGATGAGTATCACACCCCCATGATCCAGTCACACCAAGAGCCTCACTTGTGAGCACGTGAGGCTTTGGGGGGATATCTAGATATAAACTATAACATGGACTAACACATAAATATTTTACAATATGCCATAATTTAAAGCATTTTCTGACTGCCTCCTGATGTATCCCAGTTTGGATACATTAGCCCACATGCCTAAGAATTTAGGGGCTGCAGTTTGGATTTTGAACATCCCCCAAACACGCAGGTAGTGCCGCTGGGTGGTGCTGTGGATCCTGAGGAGGTAGTGCAGTGGGAGGCCTTGGGCCACTCGGGGTGTGTCCTGGAAGGGCACTATGGGACCCTAGCTCTTCCTAACATTCTCTTTTGCTTCCTGGCCACATGGTGAGCAGTTTTCTCTGCCAAGCACTCCCGTCATTATCATCTGGCATGACTGCCAGAGCCCAAAGCAGTGAATCTGTCCCATCCTGAACTAAAACCTCCAAGACTGGGAGCCAAAAACCAACCTTTCTTCTTTGTAAGTTAAAGACCCCAGTCATTTTGTTATAATGGCAGAAAACTAACAGTAGCAATGGCTCTAGAGTAGCCTCCAAGCCTGCCTCAGTCACCCTCCAGCTACCATTCCTTCCTCCACATGCTCCAAGTCACTATCCTGAGCCCCAAACCAGACACACCCCCTTAACCGGCAAGGGCACACCCTCCCACCCCACACTGCCAACAGGTAAAAGACCCAAGCAAAGACAGCTGGCAGCATTTGGATTCTTCTGGGCAGACCCTTCTTCCCTCTTCTGTCTTCCTCCTCTCTGCCCTTTCTCCTGCTCCTCCTACAGACTCCCATTCATCAGCAAGGACATGGAGGTCCAGAAAGGGCGAGGCTAAGCCCATATCCCCATCAATACTTCCACAGAGCCAGGACTCAACCCAGCCTTCTGGATAGCCTCATGCTGGAGCAGGAACCCTGCCCTGGGGTCTGTCCTCCCTGATTGGAGGAGAGCCGCTGTGACCACCAGGATCAAGTCCATGCAGCCCCAGCCCTGGTCCCAGGGAGGGATACAAGGCATGGCATGGGCTTTCCTGGCCCCTGCAGCCACACGCATGACTCTATGCCCAAGACAAAGTGTTCTCCAACAATGCAGACCCTCCTCACTAAGGATCTCAACTCCTCTACCCAAGAAAAGTTCACTGCTCCATGATCAAACCGACTATCCCAGGGTCAGGAAGTCCATATATCATTTCCCTCCATGCTGTTATAAAGCCATAAATTGCTAGGCAGCATGCTGAGTGGTAGTGATTTCATATTATTTCATCTTTTAAATTTCAGACTCATTATTATTCTGACTCTAGCTCCCCCAGAATGAGTGAGAAGTTTTACATGGGTCAGGGTCTTGGGTTAGGTTCCCCCAAAGCAGAGCCTGGGACACAGTTTGTGGAGAAAGGGACTCAGGAAGTGGGGCCAGGATGGGGGAGAGGAGGAAACCGAGCAAGACTCAGCTGCAGACCAAGCCCGCTCTGAGGCATGGAGCCAGGCTTTCCTGCCCTGTGTCACCTGGACTTCAGCCCTGAGCTGCCCCAGTATGGGTGGTAGAACCCTCAAGGGACACAGCTCTCACAGGTGTGGGTAGCTCTCTGGAGCAGCAGGAGCAGAGTGCAGTTAGCACATTGGCAGCAGCTGGGAGTGGTGGTCCACCTGGTGAAAGCAATCTGAGCAAGCAGCACATTGTAATGGTTTATATCCACTGTCCCCCGCACACTGCCCCTTGGGCTCAGAGGTGGGGCTTGTGGAAGGTAGCTGATTGTGGGGGCTACAGCTCGCTTGGTGTGAGAAGGTAGGCCTTGATCAGAAGAGGCAGACATTGTGAGCATGGCCTGGTAGGGTGCATCTCCCTCCCTGTTTCCTCCCTCTCCTCTCTGCTTCTTGTTCACCATGAGGTGAGCAGCTCTCCTCCACCCGACCCTTCCGCCATACTGCTGACCACGCAAGGACTGAAACTTCTAAAGTGTGGGCCAAAATAAACCTCAAACTCACCTCCTTTAAATTGTGGGTGTCAGGTATTTTGTCCCGTTGGCCCAGTGACAAGGAAAGTGACTAAGACAATGTCACCCTTGAACAGCTGATGGTCAAGGTCCTGCCTTGGAACCATTGTATCCCTGGGATCACCAAGACCCCAGATTCAGGAAGAATGTGAGCTGGAGGCATTCACTTCCAGAAGTCACTTAATCCCACCCCAGCCATTGCCTTAGGGTTAGGTGCCTACACCTCTTAGAAACCTTCCACCTTCTTCTTTCAGTCCCCAGGCATTCAACACTCCTCTAACTGGTCCACCAACCCCCACCCAACCCTCTCCCGGACAATCCAGTGTCACTGTTTCCTCCGGGAGCTGGTGACAGGCGTGAGAAGCAGCCCACCCCTCCGCCAGGCAGCCTCCCGTCCCTCTCAGATACACAAAGGGTCTGTACACTCCTCCCTGGCAGTGAGGAACACTGGACCCGGGAACCAGGCCTCTGGGAGGCTGCCCTTGGGGACACAACTAGACCACTCGCTTCCAGCTGGTTCCTCAGGTGTCCAGGAGCAGCCATTATGCAAATTCTGCATGTGTGCCTGTGAGGCAAGGCGGGTGAGGTCAGGACACCTGTCCTGGGAGAATCCAGGCCACAGCCCGCAGCTCTCCCCCAACGTGGCTGTCACCATGCCGCCACACCTCCCCGGGGGGCCACTGCAGTTGCTGAGGGCCCGCGCTCTCCCCTGCCAGGCCTCTCGGCTGCACGCCACACCCAAGGACGGGGCAGAATGCAGTCTGCACCTGGGGCTTCTGGGATGGGACCTCACAGCTCAAGAGAGGGCAGGGCAGAGGGGCAGTGCTCCCCAGCCCTTCGCCTCTCCCAGACTCAGCTTCCCATCAGTGTAACAGGTGTGCACTGGCACCCGGGAGAGCCCCGAGCCTAGCCCTCCTGAACCCTTGCCCTGTGGTCCTGCTCAGGGCCCAGAGATCACCCCCTGCCTCCACGGTGCTGCTTCCACTTCAGAGGGGGCACCGGCTCAGCAAACCCTGCGGTTTCAGCACGAAGGGGCAGAGGATCATTGGCAGCTTCGCCCAGCAGGAGCCATGCGCTGCTCTCTTTAACCCAACGCCATTCCCGCCTTCATCTCAGATAACCAGTGGCTTTGCCGCACGTGAAAAATAAGCCCCGCTGTTGCCGGTGCCTTTGGCCTCTCAGCAGCCACTTTATTTTAGGAGAATCAGGCTCTTGGTAACTCGGGGCTCACTGTGGCTCCTGCGTAGACCTGTGTTAGGTTCTGGGAGCAGACTGACCTGCTCTTACCTGCTCCTTGCCCTTTCCTGCACGTCCTGGGCTCTCTAACCTCACGGCCACACGGAGACCCAGGCTCAGCCTGACAGTGCGGATCCTGGGAAGTCCCAACCAGTGAGACAGGTATGCTCACATGAATGTGCCTCCGGGACTCCCGGATGAGCCCATAGCCAGAGGAGCCGGGAATTAGGGCATCGAGGGGAGCTGCTGGGCAGAGGAAGTGCAAAGGGCTGGACTGTGCTGTCCATGTCGGTGCCCAGAACCCTGCCAGGGCCAGCGGGGCCAGGTGCTCTGGAACCATGGCAGGAGGGAGCAGGATGGACCCCGGGGGCAGAGAAGCCTTCCAGACAGGAGGAGGACAGGAGGGGGACAAGGCCAGTGGTGCATGGTGGCCTTGTGATCTTGCTTGCTGCCGTTGGGACCTGTGTGTCCTCTTCCCTTGAGAGTGGGCAAGACATGTGGGATTGTTGCTGAGAGAACACAGAAGCAAGGGTGGCGTGGCTGCACGTGAGCACTGCACAGAGCTGCAGTGCCCAGCCTGCCTGGTCTCCCCCATGACAGTGGCTGGAGGGAGCAGCAGCCGAGTCCCCATGTGGTCAGGACCTCAGAGCTGCTAGCCCACGCCACATGGGCTCCAGGAAGGAGGCAAGGCCCTCAGCCCCACAGCCTCAGTGAGCTCATGGCACCACCAGCTGGCGAACAGATCCTGCCCCACTCCAGCCCCAATGACACTGCAGTCTGGGGACAGCAGGACGCAGGAGACCTGGAAGTGGAGAACACAGGTGACCCATGCTCCAAGAATTGTGGCCGCTGTAAGCTGCTGGCATTGGGCTCATCCGTCTCAAGGCAACGAACAAGGAGTACAAGGCTGCACTGGAAACTTCGGATGGAAACTCAGTTCCTGGAGATGGTGGCAGGTGGCGGCAGCCAGTAACAATGGCAGCCTTTTACCAAGCACTTCTGGGATTGTAAGTTTGTTCATGGAGGAAGAGCTGTGCTGAGGGCTTCCCACAAGCCAGCTCATTTAGTCCTCTTGGATGCGGGGATTTGGGGACTGAGATTGTCCCCAGTTAGAGATGAGAAGGCTGAGGTGCAGAGCAGTCACACGTCACATATGCTGGAGCTCAAACCGAGAAGTCTAGTGCTTTGCCCAGGTCTAAGGGCCCCGCCAGGCCCCTCTAAAGTGGGGACCTCAGTCTGGGAAGCTGTATTCTCCAGGCACTGGGAGCCCTCGAGGGAGGGGCAGGACAGCGGCACAGTCCTCTGCTTTGGGAAGCCTCTCCAGCTGGACAGTGAAGGCAGTGGGCCCGAGTTATGGGAGCTGGGGGCTGGGGGAGCCTGTGGGGACCGGAGAGTCAGCAGGGGACTTGGGGCCCTGAACCTGGCTGCAGGTAGGGAGAACTGAGGGGCGGGGCTGGGTTAAAATGAGCCCCCAGCCCCTGAGCTACTTCCCCACTTCCGCCCCATGCCCTGTGCCCTGTTCCTCTCCCCAGTGTGCAGCGGGGCCTGGGGAGGCTGAGCCCCGTCCACCAACCCCAGCTGGTGCTCCCAAATGCTCTCTGTCCTCCTCCAAGTGCACTTAGGGGCACACAGAAGCCAGGTGGCACTGCCGAAGCCACCGTGGAGGCCAGGCCCCACACTCCCAGGGCACAGCACCCACCACACCTCAGGGCTCAGGCCGCCCCGTCCACTGCAGCTTCACAGCCACCAGCAGAGGACCAGGCATCCACAGGGATGAGCCAGGCTGAGGCCCAACGCTGCAATTAGTTCTTCATCTAGCAGTTTATAGCTTTGGAGACACAGGGCCCTGAGCTCCTTGCTGGGGGGCACAGGGCCTGGCAGCTGGTGCTTCTGAGTCGAGTGATGAAGCCAAGACAGAGTCTGGACCAGCTCTCCCAGACCTGCAGGAGGAAATGCCCAGGGCTCGGCGCCTGCTGCCTATGTCTCTGCTCCCTGCCCTGGCTGCCACCTCCTTCCATCCTGTCCTGTCCTTCCTGGACCCTCCAGCCACAGCGCCTTCCTCTTCCATGCCACCTGCCTGCAGGACACGCCCGCTGTCCCCCACCACCCCGCACCCCTCAGCCTCCCGGGCCAGCAGCTCCATGTCACCCCAATCCCAGCAGAGACGACAAGCTCCTTCCTGAGACCCTGCGCTCCTGCCCCTCTGGCAGCACTGTCAGCATTTGCCTCCCATGACGGTGCCCTGCTTCCTATCTTCCTTCCACCCACAGTGAGGGCTTAGTCATCTCTGCACTGTCGCCGTCCAACCTACAGACCTGTTCAGGGACCCCAGGAGTGCGGCTGGGGAGAGGGACCACCCCGCACGAAGCCTGAGCCCAGGACATTGCAAACTGAGGAGCAGATGTCTTGTCCTTGCCCCCAGAGCTGGTGGAGGGGGAAAGGGCATGGAGGGGACAGGGCCCTGACACCCACTGCACTCACTGTCCCCAGCAAAACCTACCTGCACTTCCGGCCCCGGGACAGGAAGTTGTGCCCTAGCCTCAGGACAGGCAGGGATGACGCCAGCAGCAGGCCAGACTTGCCCGGCAGTTTCTTCCCTGGGCCAGCCTTGAACTTGCAGTAGACGGGAGAAGGTGGACAGGGCCCTACATCGTCAGCGGCAGATGAGATGCCAAGCTGTGTGCTGCCCAGTGCCCAGCACACCCAGCGTGCAAGCCCCGGTGACCCACAGTGCTATCCTCCTCACATCACCACTTCCCAGGCAAAACCCCCCGGGTCTGTTTCCAGAGGGATCAGCTAGGAAGAGGGAAAACTAGACCCCTCCGAGGAAAACGCTAGGACCGTTGAGGAAGCTTGGACATCAGGAGGAGGTCATGGGACTCAGGGCCAAGTGGCCAGGAGGTGACAAGGTCCAGGGGGAGGGGACGTGGGGCCCTGCAAGGGACCTTGCCTGTCCCCCAGACATGGCAGAGGCTGCAGGCAGTTTCTAAGGAAGCAGCAGAGAAGCTCACCTGGATGCCCACGGAGGCCCCAGCACCTGGACTGTGTCAGCCCGGAGCTATGGCCCTGCCCTGGAATGCGAGGAACCTAGGGATCCTGGGGTCTCATTTCCTGCGGTTGCAGCCGACCAGGGCGCAGAACCAGGGAGAGCTTGCATTAGGGAGGTCGTGCAGCTCCCCACACCACTGAGCTGAAGGCCCCGCAGGAGCTGCTGAGCCAGACCTCCATCCTCCCTTCCTCCTCACAGGCTGCCTATCGCCTGTCAGGGCACTGCAGTCTTCTTGGCAAAGAAAGAAGCCCTGGGTCAGCCCTGACCCCCAGGGCGCACCCCGGCCGAAAGGTGCCTCCTCAGTCTCATTCCCTGGATCCCATCACATGAGCAGCTTGTTCGATCACACACCCTGCTGTGAAGATTCTGCCTCTCCAGGCCCAGTCAACTGGCCGTGGGTGAAATCCCCTAAAGCCAGGACCCAAAGCAAGCCTTTCCTCTTTTGAGCTGTTTGTCTCAGGTATTTTGTCACAGTAACAGAGAGCTGACTAACATGCAGGCCCCACACCCTCACCCTGAAGCCCTGGTAGTTGCATCCTGAGGTTGGAGTCCCCTGTGGTTCCCCAGGGCCTGAATACAAACCCTGTCCCTACTGAACATGCTGCAGGCCCCCCGACCTAGCTGACACAACAGCAACCAGCCCAGGCTGGAAGAGAATCTCCCACTGGGGCCACGAGGCTTGAGAAGGTGACGAGTCACCATTAAGCCTGTCCCACACAGGAGGATTGTAGTCTTGGGTCTCCTGACCTTCAAGAAACACATGGTGGTGCAGGCCTGCAATCTCAGCACTCAGGGAGGCTGAGGCAGGAGGATCACAGGTGCCCACGCTGGGCCACTGAGCAACTTCGTGAGACCCTGTCCCAAAATTTTAAAAAGGGCCGGGGATGTAGCTCAGTGCAATGACCCTGGGCTCCATCCCCAGTGCCATAGTAAAAAGAAAATGGAGAGTTAATATATTTAAGTAGGAAAAATGGCCACTTAATTCCATTTAAACTGAATTTAACATTTTCTTCCACTATGAAAGTAGACAATGTAGCACAGAAATATCAGCAAGAGCTGTGACTCTGTCACTAATAGAAATCTTTGATATTTTCATCTCACGTTGCCATTCGCGAATATAGTCCAAGATGCCATTTACTTGCAGTATGCTAGGGGTCCCACTTGTCAGCCAGGACATACCTCATTCCCAGCAGGTGCCTGAAACTGGATAGGACTGGACCCTATATAGGAGGTGTGGTCGAAAACTATGGCTAATGTTTACTTTTTAAAATTTATTATAGTATAAGCCATATTCCCATGAATCCCCCACTTTGAACTCATCCCATCATCCTCACCACTTCCTGCAGCAGCTCTGGAGCCCTCTTTCCTTAGTGTCTTTAGCTGCACTGTCCTGGCTGCCTCTGCCTCCGTGTCCTGAATGAATTCAAAATGTTTCCCTTTGATGGTCGTTTTGGCTCTGGGGAGGAGCCAGAGTCACGCGTTGCCGGATCCGGGGAATGAGGACGTGGGGACAGGGCGTCAGTTTGTACTGGACAGGAAATGCTGTTCCAGCACCCGTGTGGCCCAGAGCAGAGTCGTGGCGGAGGGTGAAAGCGCTGGCCCATTTCTCAGCCGTTTCCCCCGCACATCATTTCTCAAATGCTCCAGGAGCCGGCCTGGCACCCAGGGCTCCCCACCGCGCTCCTGGTGCAGACTCCCCCGGCGCAGCTCCGCAGGGTCAAAGCGCCGCTGGGTCTGGACTGGCGAGGAGACCCGGGTGCCTCCACTGAGCTCTGAGCCACGGCCTCAGGACGGCAACAGAGGCCCAGGTTCGTCCCCCACCGTGATACATCTTAAAAGCAGGAACCTGAGGTGCAGGATCCCGCAACTCCAGCACAACTGACCAGGCTTCACGTTGGCCAGTCGTTTGTGCCCCGCGATCTACGGCACACTTTGTTCAAAACACACCTTCTCTCACCTGGAGCTCACGACCCAGTGACAGCACTGGACGAACTGAAACGTCACACACCGTGGCTAAGGCTCAGTGACAGCCAGAGACAGCAGTATTTTGAAATCACACCTTGTATGTTGTTGTTGTTGTTTTTCCTATACCTATGACAAAGTTTAACTTATAACGTAGGCACAGTAAGAGATTAAAAATAATTAATAAAATGGAATGATTTTAACGATTTACTGGAATAAGTGATATGAGGTGGTCTCTGTCTCTGTGACACACACGCACGCTGTTTAATTGCACCTCAGTTAAACTGACCACACTCACCCTGCTTTGTCCTGGGGTCTGAGGGCAGATCCGGTGCCTACGGAATGAGAGGAGGTGAGATGAGGGCCCGGGCACCGTGACGTGGCACTGGGCTGCTGCTGACCTCCTGACCCGTTAAGTCTGATGGGAGTCCTTGTGCCCTAAGGACTCCAGGTGACAGCAGGTGACCAAAACCACAGAAAGCACCACCCGATAAGGAGGGACTGCTTCGTCTCCCACCACCCGCTCCTCGGCCTGCTGCTAGGGTCTTGTTATCTGAAACGTGAAAAAGAAGCACATGTATTGCTGTGGCCCAAATTTATTTTTAATATTTTGATTGCTATATTTCAATTGATTTTCTTTATAATCCTTTGTGGGGATTTTTTATGCATTTAAAAATATTATCCTGGGCTAGGGATGAAGCTCGGCAGCAGAGCACTTTTCTAGCATTTGTGAGGCCCCAGGTTCGATCCCCAGCACCACAGAATTCATACACGCGGATATACATGTACAGTGGTGCCTCGGTTCATAATTTGTTCTACAGTTTGGGGACAGATGGCCACGTTTGTGTTTGTGTGGGAAAGATGGCCTTGATCATGTTTGTCACCCAATGCAGAGTTTGCAAAAAAATCAAAATTTTGCCAAAGACTTCTGTTTTCAGACCAAACTGTTTATAAACAAAAGTGTTTGTGGTACCATTGTATGTGTACGCATGTGCATGCATTCAGGAGTACATGAATGCATACATATATGCATGTGTGCATACATACATATATACATAAAAATATGATCCTAGTAGGGGTCCATAGGCTGTGGAAGATCCTGGGCCGTGCAAAGGCCCCAGTGCCTTGGAGAGAGCCCAGCAGAGAGGGAAGTGGTGGCCCTGGTCAGGAAGGGGCCCCATTCCAGCTGCAGCCATGGGCCCAGGAAAAGGCAGAGCTCAGTGGGCACCATCTCAAGCCCCTGGACTGGGACCCACAGGGCAGCCTCAGTTTCCCAGTGGAGGCCCCTGGATAACAGGACCCAAACCCAGGGTTTTCCTGGAAAGCAATCACGTCACCGGCCGTCACCAGAAGCCTGCAAGACAGGGTGTGGGAGTTCCCCGCCCCCCGGCACATGGTGGAGCTCCTGCCCGGGATTCAGGTTGGACAGTGGCGAGATTGTGTCAGACTTGCCAGGTGCTTCCCGCTGACCTCTGCTTCTGCCTCCAGTGACACCCACAGCTCTGGGGACAGCTCTGTGTGAGCTCTCAGAATCCACGGGGAGCACACATGGTACCCTCCTCTGCCCCTTGTAGGGCTGCTTCTGAAGCCACAGCCAGCTGGGGGAAGGGCCAGCAGCTGGCCCACGCTGAGAGGCTCCTGGGTCCCAGCTGAGCTGGGCCGGGCCCTGAAGGTGACAGCGGTCTCCCGCCCTTCCTCCAGCCCTGTGTGGCTGTGCCACTGACTTTCAGCGAGGGTGATTTGAAAAGAGGCGACTGCAACTCCCACGTCCCCAGTTAGCAGGAAGGGGCCTCACTCCTCCCTCCACGTCCCACTGGCTGGAAAGCAGAAGTCTGGTCAGCCAGCCGGGTCAGGAACGAAGCCCTCCCTCCCGGGACTCACCTTCGGAACCTCCTCCCAGCTCCAGCGGGAGCAGCCTCTGTGATCAAGAGCACAGGCTGGAAGGGACACCCGTGACGCCCAAGGCCGGTCAGAAAAGGCACGCTGGCTCTCCCGGTCCCCAGCAGAGGACCAGTCACCGAGTGGGGGGACACTCCGGCATGCTGTGGGGGTCCGGGAGGGCCGAGGCCTCCACCCACAGCCACACAGTGGAAACTGAACCTCTGCTCATCACACCCTCCGGGGACAGCGCCCTGCTCCCTGGCACCCAGCACCGCCCGCCAAGCCGCCCCCAACCACTGCCCTGCTGGGGAAATCGGAGAGGACAAAGGATGAGTTCTGGGTGATGGCTACGTCAGGTGACCACCACGGGTTGAGTTCCATCCCTCCAAACTCACAGGTTGAATTCCTAGGCCTCAGGACCACCGGAAGCGATGCGATTAACAGGCAGGGTCTTGGCAGAGGCAAACTGAGGTGGGCCCTCCTCATGATGGCTGGCATCCTGAAGGGATGGGCACCCTGCAGCTGGACACACACGTGGCAAGAATACCAAGTGACCATGAAAGATCAGACTGGGGGAGGCCCAAAGTCCCGAGAGGCCAGAGGTGGCCAGAGAGGTCTGCGTGTGAGCAGGGTGACCCACAGGGCCAGGACAGGGGCCTCCGTTTACTTGTTGATTTGGGCGCTCATTCCCCTGTGACCTCTGTCGGGAGAGCACACGGGACCTGGGGAGGTGCAGATGCTGCTTTGTGAGGATGCAGCCTCAGCCCCATTTGACGGAGAACAAAAGAACAGCAGCTAAAGAAGCGGGGCTTGGACTCTGTACCCCAGAGGCCCGAGCTGCCGAGGGGCCAGCCTGCCCACCCTGCTGAGGCCCAGGACCCTCAGCACTGCCTGGAGGTCACCTGTGGCAGGCACCACATCTCGAATGCTGGGACTGTCATGAAGCAGAGCCACAGGCTGGGGGGCAGAAGCAACAGAAGTTTATCTTTCCGCAACTCGAAGGCCCTAGGTGTCTGTAGGGTGGCTCTGCAGGCCAGGCGGGACCTCTGCCCTGTCCTCTGGGCCTTGCCTTGTCCAGGCAAGAAGAGGCTGGGGTGGGGATAGCTGGCCAGGGATGGCCAGGGCCGGAGCCTGCAGAGGAGGAAGCAGGAGAAGCCTGCCTAGCTGCGGTATTTTTACCCAGACCTGTGCAAACAGAGGTGCAGGCTCCTCTTTGCCCTGGCACCTGGCCTGGAAGGCCCTGACCAGGTAGGCAGTGCCACTCGGTGAGGAGCCAGAGAGGAAGGGTGCAGGGGGAGGGCAGGTAAGGAAGTGGCGCAGCCACCCCGAGACTCCGGCCTGCTCCTGTCTAGGCTCCATGGACTGCGGGCAGCAGTGACAGTGGCGGCCACAGGGCCTCACGTCTGTGCTGAGCAGGGCAGGTGGGGCTGGATGCAGGGCCAGGTGGCTTGGAGATCAGGGCCAACCTGGGGCAGAGATCAGCCCAGACTGAGGCCTGGAAAGGGCTCAGGGGTCGGGCTGGGGTCACGAGTAACCGGAGGAGGCCAGGGTTGGGCAGGGATCACCCCGTGGCTATGGGTCAGGCCCAGAGTCGATATCAGAGCTATAGGAAGGGTTGCCGGCCCAGGCTCCGCTCTTGTTCCGGGAACGTCTGGGCCCGTCCTCCCCCACAGAGTGCTCCAGACTCCGCAGCGGGGCCACTGACCCCGACTCCAGCCCACAAGTGCTACAGCAAAGTCCCCTGGGAGCTGATGCAGGAGGCTGCTCTGGGCAAGGGTCAGTCCAGGCCAAGGAGCCAGGCCAGGTAGAGCCTGGGGGACCCCATGGGGGCCAAGGAAGGAACCGGGGGATCCTCAGAGCTGGGTGACAGTGCAGCACTAGAAATCTGGGAGCAGAGAGAGGCAGGGCCAAGGCAGCCTCTCACTCCCCTCTGTGAAGAGATGACTTCCAGGTGCCAGCCCCGCCTCCGGCCCAGAACAGAACAAACTCCTCCCTGCCCTTGTGGGGCTTCTGTTCTAGCAGGGGAGATAAACAGTAAGAAAGTCCACTCCTGGCCCTGAGTGCAGGCCCTTAGAGGGTGATGAGTGCTGAAGACCAAGCAGGGAAAGGCCTTCAGGGGCTGCTTTTTGGTGTTCAGTGAAGGAGGAGAGAGGAGGAAGCCACTCGGGTTCCAGGGGAAGAGCATTCCCGGCAGAGGGAGCAGTGCTGACCCAGAAGCAAGCGGGTGTAGGATTAAGCTCTCAGGAGGCCAGCATGGCCAGGGGGGCAGGAGGAGGCAGAAGAAGTGGAACAAAGAACAGGACCACTGGGGTCCGGTGCACACTTAGAACTAGGGAGAGCTGGGTGTGGTGGCCACTCTTGTAATCCCAGAACCCAGGAGGCTGAGGCAGGGGCATTGCTGCAAGTTTGAGGCCACCCTGGGTGAGTTCCAGGCCAGCCTGAACTGCATAGTGAGACCCTGACTCTAAATAAACAAACAAAAATGAGTGACTAGGGAAAGGTGGGACTTTGCTGATGCTTCAAAACAGTCTGAGAGAGAGAGGTTGAATAACCCCCCCCCCGGGGGTGGGCAGCAATCCAGCTCCGCTGCGGTGCCCTCCCAGACCCGAGACTCAGTTTTATCCAGAGGACAGGCGGCAGGGAGAGGGTTCCCTGTAGTCAATTCCAGGGTGTGAATCATTTTATACAAACAAGAGGTTTTGAAAAAAAAAACACCGTAAGGCAAGGAAGGGAATGAACCCAGCACTGACTGTTTATGCCACTGAGGAATGTTAGTATTCTGCAAATGGAAGAGCAGATTTTTTGTGATGGCACTGGGGTTCTCATCCTCCAAGTCACAGATGGCCGCAGCTCTGCAGTCTGAGCCAGCATGGTCACTGCTGAGATGGGAACGCCAAGGAGGTAAAATCAGGGATGGGCTCCAGGGAGTGGGTTATGTTATTTCATCCACATCCTGTAGTTGGGAGCTCTTTCTGATGAGTTAAAGAACAAGCTTAATGCCCAGCCCAGATGCTGAGCCTGAGGAGGGAAGGGCTGGGAATTTGGAGGAAGCTGCTGTGGGGAACAAGACGGTGAGCGGGCGAGGGGTGCGCTCCGGCTTCCATCACTGTGACAAAACATCTGCTTCAAAAGCGGCAAAGCCAGGTGTGGTGGTGCACACCTGTAATCCCAGCACTCAGGAGGCTGAGGCAGGAGGATTGCCGTGAGTTTGAGGCCAGCCTGAACTGCAAAGGGTGACCCTACCTCAAAAAACAACAACAAAAAATGAGGCAAGGTAGGGCTGGGCTGCAGCTCAGGTGTGGAGCATTGGCCTGGCTTTCATCCCCAGCACCAAAACTTTTAAATAAATAAAAGCAAGAAAGAGGAAAGGCTTGGATCATGGGTTCAGAGGGCTCAGTCCATGGTCACTGGCTCTTGCCGTTGGGCTCTTGGCAAGGCAGAACGTGGTGGTGGGAGTTCACGGTGGAAGGGACAGCTCACCTCACAACAGCCAGGAAGCAAAGAGAGAGGAAAATGAGCACCCAGGATCCCCCTGTCCCTTTAGGACACACCCCCAGGGACCTCCTGCCAGGCACCACCACCTTGTCCCAAGCCCTCAGAGCAGGGACACCCACCCTCCCACTGCAGATGAGATGCAGCTGACCTGAGACAGGAGGCAGAAACTGGCCTCTCTTCCCCATCAAGCATCTGTCTCCTCCTCTTCCTGCTCCTCCTGCTCTCTCCCTGGCCTGGGCTAGCTCATGCAGTGTCCCCCTTGGCTGCTGCCCCCTGCAGCCTGGCTGCCAGCAGCTCCAGTCCGATGCTCTTCTGTCTACACCACCCGGCCCCTCCACACTTCCCCCAGAGGAAAAAGAAGGCTGCTTCTGACCTCCCTCCTTCAAGGCCGTCCTGTCCCTGCTTGAAGAAGGCAAGGTGAGGACCCCAGGGGCTGGCAGGGCCCCCTCGGTGCGCTCCTCCCTGGAAAGGCGTCCTCTCTTGGGCAGATGATCTCTCGCCTAGAGGAGATTGGGGTTGGGAGGAGGAAAACCAGAAGTGGAGCCCGGAGGTTCCTGCTCAGGCACCTGGGACCCAGAGAGAAGCAGGGGAGGACTTCTCTGCGATTCTCCCAGACTGTTCCTGGGAGCAGCACTAAGCTGTGGACTGAGCCCCCACCAAGGAAGGAAAGGCTGGGAGGGAGACCCGGGCTTGCACACCACAGTCCCCACCCAGGGTGGCCACCAGGGACAATGGCACTGTCAGCTCTGTCTCCACTGTGGGGTGTTACCTGCTCCCAGAGAGGTGAGAGGGCAGAGGTGGGGCTGGGACTCCAGCCACAGTCAGAGCAATGAGGGTGATAAGAAGAAGCATCTCCCTGTTGGCTCGTGGGCAGAGTCAAGCTGCAGGGGCTCCAGGGGCCTCTCTGTGTGACACCTGTGGCTGAGGTGGAGGACAGATGTGGGGAAAGACTGAGGCTCTCCCAACAGAGTTCAGGTCTCTTGCCGTCCCTGCCAGTCCTCAAGCCACCAGCCTGGCCACAGTGCCCAGCCTGCTGCAGACACCCCAGGACAAATCCTGGGTCCCGTGCGGAGGCAAAGAGGCCAAGTGGATGCACCCACCCTCCCCTGCAAGGACGAGGATAGCAGCCATGCCTGGCATCTCCCAGGTCTGGGCTGTGTCCACTTCTCTGCCCATCCCCTTCTGGAGCATCTGCCTCACCAAGAGCAACTGCCATGTCAACGGCCAGGATCCTCACTTCCGGTGGAAACCCTTACTGGCCTCTGCAGACACACTCCTGGGTGCCCCACTTCACCCAGCCACAGCCCACACCACCACCAGAGGCAAGTGAGCTGGCAGCAGACCTGCCCTCCTCCCCGCAGGCAGCTCTGCAGGTCTCTGTGATCCCAGCTCCTGATGTGAGATGGTGACTGTAGTTCCCCGGCTTTGTCATAGCTTGATTCTTGCTCTTACGTTTATGCATAAACATGAGTTAAATATTAAACATTATGTCATATATTAAATTCATAAATCTATTTCCTAATGTATTGAATTACAGAGTGAAATTACCATTTTCCTTGCTTATCCTATCCTTGCGTTGTTTTAATATCAGCATACACCACTCATAGAGCATGCTGGGAACATGATTCCCTTCACATGGGAATTATCTGTGCCTTTGAGGCTTAGGGAATCCTCCCATAAAACCATCGGGGCCTGGTATCTTTTTTAGAGGCAACTCTAATATTTCTCTAGAAAGCACCCATTTCACATAGATGTTTGAATAATATTGCCACACAATATCATTCTTTTATAGTTTTAAAATATTCTCTGTTCCTGGAACTACATCCCTTGTCTTCTAAGTTTCCACTTTTGTTCTCGATCAGGCTTGCCAACTTTTTATCTATTTACCAGCCTTGTTATGGCTGTGTCTAGCTGTCCCCACAAGCCTCAAGTGGTCAGAGATGGAGCTTTTTCAGAGGTGGCTGGATCTAAGGTGTGTGACTGATTCATGGTGCAATGCTAGGATTAAGGGTGTGTGATTACTAAATCAGTCCTGATTGGTTGTGCACCTGCCCTGATCCCAGTACCCAAGAAAGACTATAAAGGTGGCAGAAAGCAGCTGCTGAGGGCCCTTGCTTCTCTGAGCTGCTCCTCCTCTGCCAGGCCCCCTGCCTTGGAGCCAACCGACTATGGACGGAAACCTCCACACACTGTGAGCTAAATGAACCTGTCCTCCCTTAACTTGTGGGCATCGGGTATTTTGTCTCAGCAATGAGAAAAGTAACTAAGCCACGCCTGTTCAAGGGGAAAGTTGTGCTCATTCATCCAATATTTTATTTTGACCATTACTTTCTAGTTTTATCTTCACTAATGCCTCCCTTTCTTCAGATTTAATTTGTTGTTTCTTTTCCACTGTTTTTAGTTGTAAAATTATTTCACTGATTTTCAGTTTCTCTTGTTTGTAGTATATCTAATGTAGGCTGTAAATTTTTCTCTAATTGTGTAATGTCTATATTATTCAGGTTTTAATATTCATTATTATTTATTTCTAAATAATTTATAATTTCTTTACTCCTTTAATAGAGGGTGCATTTTGGTGTTTTAGTTCATTAATTTTGTATGTGTGAAATATTTTCAATAATGTAGGAGAAAAGAATAAGAAAATCAAACCCCTGGTATCCACCAGCTACTTTCCAGAGACCTTAACATGAAGCCATGTTGGCTGTAGATATTTTCAGTACAGTCTGCAGCACAATTGGTACCCACTGTGCATCCTTCCTGTGGGTTCTAAGACAGCACTGGCGACTCCTGACCCTTGGGGTGCAGATCCTGTGATCCCCTCCCCTTGAGGTGGGTGGGCCTGACTTAATCAGGTGATTTTAAAAAGAGTTTCCAGAGTTGAAAGTCAGAGGGGTTCAAAGCCACAGCCAATGCACTCTTGGTACCCTGATTAAAAAGGTAACATCGGGCCGGGGATTTAGCTCAGTGGTTCTGGTGCCTGCCTCGCAAGCACAAGGTCCCAAGTTCCATCCTCGGTTCCAAAAAAAAAAAAATTTTTAAATTAAATTATTAATGGTAAAAAGGTAACATTTATGGAGACGGCTGCAGAGCCAGGACGTGAGATCAGCCTCGAGGAGATGAGAAAGACCCAGCCAATGGCCATCAAAAAAACAAAAAAAGAAGAATCCTCCAGCTGAAGGAATTGGATTCTTCCAACAACTGGAGTGACCTTGCAGGAGGACCTGGGGCCCTACGTGTGCCCACAGCCCGGCCAGCACCTTGTTTTGCCAGAGGATCTTGCTAACCCTCATGCGGACTTCCGACTACAGGAAACAGAGGCAAGGTGGTGCTGCTTCAAGCTCCTGTGTCTGTGCTGACTGCTGTCCGGGATGGAATGAACACACTTCCGCTCTTCCACCCGACCTCCCTCTGCAGAGGAGCCCCAACGCAGCTCTGCTGTTCACCATTCCCGAGCACGCTCTGTACCTTCACTGCATATTTATGTGACCATGAAAGTTACGCAGTACTGGCTTTAGATATTAAATCCGCCTGCGGGACCCTGTGCATAGCATTCTGCACCTGCTGTGGTTGCTCAACAGCGTACTCAGCTCCACAGCCCCGGGAGAGACGCGCCTGCCGTCCACTCATCTCCATGGCTGACTAAAATCCCTGAGACGAGGGTTTCCAGCCACTCACCACCACTGCAGATGTCAAAGCTGCCCTGACAAATGTTGTGTAGATGTTCGGGTTATTGCACCTTCCTGATGGATAGGAAGTTCTAGCCATGTGCACTATCATCCTCTTTGTACATTTTGTTGCTTTTCCTCTTGAATTCTCACTTGCCCCATGATGAAGGTGTCTGTAATCATTCCTGACATCTGACTTTATGCTCCTGCGAACAGCCCATCCTCCCTTGAGTTTATTCCTCCCATCCATACAATCTACTGGCTTGGCAGCGTTTTCTTAGTTTCATTTTCCCTTCTTTTGGCTCTCTGGGAGTCACACAAAGATGGCCAGTACCAGTGGGGTTTTTTTGGTTTTGCTTTTGTTTTCTTTTGGTACCGGGGATCAAACTCGGGTCCTTGTGCTTGCGCAGCAGGTGGTGAAACCACTGAGGTAAATCCCCGGCCCCCACCAGTGGGTTTTTAACACACTAACCTCTGATGGCATAAACCATGTTACTTAGACCCCTTAGATCCGTCTCTTCCTGCCTGTCTCCCTTTTGCTGAACCCCTGCCTGGGCTCAGCTCTGCCCAGTACACAGGGCTGCAGGGCTGGGCGAGGGAGAGGGGCATGGGAACTCAGTGGTCCCCAAGGCCTCAGTCTGAGCTCTGCCTGGGTACAAAGTCCCCCGAGGGCCCTGCTGCCCCAGGGAGCAGCCTCTTGGGGTCCTGGACACATCTCTGGGACCACCCCTCCCCCAGGTACCAGAGCCCTGCTCCAACTCTGCCTCTTCTAGCTGCCTAAGAAACTCAGTGTAGGAGAAAATATTTATCTTGGCTCACGGTGTCAGACATTTCAGTCCATGGTTGGCTGGCTCCATTGTGTCTGAGCTGGCAGGGAGGGGTTGGTGGCACAAAGCTGCCCACCTGTCAGGGAGCAGAGGAGGTGGGACAAAAGTGGGACCTTTGAAGCCCCACCCCCAGGGACCTACTTCCTCCAACCATGGCCCTCCTCCTCGAGATTGCCCCATCTCCTGACAGCGCCACGGGCTGGCACCAAGCCTTTAGCACACAGCTTTCAAGGGACTTTTTGTTTGTTTGTTTTGTTTTTTGAGACAGGGTCTCGCTATGTAGTCCAGGCTGGCCTCAAACCCATGGTGATCCTCCTGCCCCAGCCTGAGGAACACTGGAATTACAGGTGTGTGCCACCACGCCCATCTCGGGGAACATTTCAGATGCAAGCCATCATGGTGGCCATCCCTGTGCTAGCCCTCAGCTGCAAGCAGTCATGTCCCCTGTACCGGAATATATAAGCACACTCTTTTTTTTTTTTTTTCCAGGGCTCAAACTTGGGACCTTGCCTGTGTGAGGCAGGTGTGGCACTACTGAGCTAAATCCCCAGTCCATAAGCACACTCTTGTACACAGACGCAGACAGGTACACACACACAAACACCCGTGCACACTGTGGTGAGGCCATCAGAGAAGAAGCAGGAGGAGCAGCCCTCCCTCCAGTTTCCCAGACTCCCTGCATCTCTATGCTGGCTGCCTGGTGACCTCCCAGCCACACTGAGCCCTGGGATCCTGAGGAATGGATCTCTAAGGTCACCCCTCTCTGTACCCAAGGGAACAACTGAGGTCTTCTCTGTCTCTGACCCCCAGAGCAGAGCAGAAGCTCTCCTACCCTTCCATGCCCTGTGCCTCAGTTTTCCCACGTACAGCTGCAGTGCCACCTAAACGTCCCCTGTTTCCGCCCAGGTCATGCAAGGCTCCCCTGAAGGGGACTCGTCAGTCACACTCATGGTGGGTCAGACCAGGGCAGGTGGCAATGCGGGAGGGATGAATGACATTCGTGCCGGCCCTCCACACCAGAAGAGCCTGGGGCGAGGTCAGCCCCCAGCTGGCAGTGTGGGTGGCCTTCGGGGACATCCTGGGGCGGTGACTCCCTGGGACCCCATCATGCAGCTCAGGTCCCCTCTGTGGTCCGCAGCTGCCCTTTCCAAGAACCTCACCGCCACCGCTGAGCTCCTGCAGCAGCGCCTGGAGGAGGCAGTGAGAACAGGATTCTGAGAGGGGTGTGGAGGGCTGGAGCATCGCGGGAGGCGCTCGGCTCGTGCCGGGAGGAGGAGGCGGGCGGGCGGGAAGCCAGGCGTTCTCCGTGAGTAACTGAGACCCCCCACCCCGCTATGCCTGCTGTCACAGGGGCGGTAGGTGGCTGCCTCCTTCTCCCAAACCTCCTGCATCCAGGGCTCCCTTGGGATGCCGGCATCCAATAGGAGAGTGGCGGCTTGAGCCAGAGCCTGGGGCCAGGTTCCAGGAGCCCAGAGGGGACACAGAACCTGCACCCCAGGGAGCAATCACAAGAAGGGGACCAGGGGGCAGGGGTGCCTGTTCCTCCCACGCCAGCACTGTCCGGGCAGAGGCCTACTCCAGAGGGGCCCAGGCTTGGGCCAGGGTGGAGACAGGAGGAGAAACCCCAGGGAACTGCCGTCCACCCCCGGTAGCCGCCTGCCCAGCCTCTGCTTCTGAATCCTCTCCTTTCCCAGAGCCCCAGCACACCCAGGGGGCACATGATGGTCCCTCATCAGAGTCCACGAAGCCCCTGAGACTGGCGATGCTGATCCCCACCCAGGGTCTCAGACACAGGACTCACAGTAGGGGACAGGCTGCAACGCGGTCACGGTTCGCCATGGTTGCATGTCTAGTTGCTTTTGCTACTTTCTTTCTGCTTCTGCCACTTCCGAGAGTGTTTTGTGCCCTTCGGTGGGGATGAAGGCTGCTTCCCCCGGCACAATTCGGAGAGAAGCAGCTTGGCGCTGAGTCCACCGGAAAACGCTGCCCCCTGCACTGCCTTCATCTGGCGGGGGCAGCGCCAGGCGGGCGCGGTCCGAGCCGCCATCCGCCCTGAGGACAGCGCCCCCGGCCGGCAGCCTCAGCCTGCTCCCGCTGCCCGCGCAGCCCGTGTCACCCCAAGGGTCCCGGGACAGCGTGGTGCCTGGCTGCCCCTGTCCCCAGCCCCGGATCCGGCCCTCGCAGGTGCGAGCCAGGGCGCGATGGGGCCGCGGCAGGCAGAGCCCTCTCCCGGGACAGCAGCCGGCAGGGTGAGGCCCAGGACGAGGTCACGAGCCCACAGCGCCCTCCACGCGGGTCCGCCGGGCTCCAGAGAGGCCAGGCCAGGGCTTCTGCCCCCTGCGCGGCCCAAGGACTCCCCCCCCCCCGCCACTGCCGTCCCGCCCCGCGCCCCGCGCTGCGTGGGCCTCGGGGAGCCGTGACAGGCGCCGGGGCCAGGGATGCGCCTGGGGTCCCCAGCCCGGCCTCGCACCGCCCTCGGTGCGCGCCAGCGGGAGGGTAGGGGTCTCAGGACAGCTCTCCGCGCGAGGGCGCTGACTGCCTCCTGCGCCGCGGAAGGGCGCCGCAGCTCCGCTCCCGGCCGGAGCTCGCAGTCCCGCGAGTGGACGTGAGCGGCCCGCTCCCCCCAGCCTCTGCCCACCGCGGGTCAGACCTGCGCCCCACGCGCGACCTGGGTGGCCCTTCCGGTCGCGCCTTGGGCCCGCAGCCCGAGCCCTCCGAAGCGCGCGGCAGGACCCTCTCGGAAGGGGGCCGCGCCCCGGGAGGGGCAGGCGGGCAGGACGCGGAGTGGGAGACCGCGCAGTCCCCGCTCCGCGGTGGGGGCGGGCGGAGGTGGCCGCGGCTTCGCGGGTGTGGGGACCCCGGCCCCGCCCACACCTGCGCGGAGCCCCGCCCCCGGCGCCCATTGGCCGCGCCCGCCGCTCGTCAGCCGCGCCCCCGCCCCCGCCCCCGCCCGCCGCAGCCGGGACCCGCGCGCCCGCCGCCTTCCGCGCCGCTCGCTACCATGCGCCCGCCGCCCGCCCGCTGGCCCTGTGTGCTCGCCGCGCTCGCCTGCGCCGTGGGCCCCGCGGTGAGTGTCCCGGGCGGGGGCGGGGGCCGGGACGGGCGCGGACGGCGGGCACCGCGGCCGGCTCTACCACGGCCTGGCTCCCCGACGGGTGGGAGTGCGGGTCGGGCCCCGTGTCCCCGCGCCACGACCCGGTGCGCAGGCGGCTGTGTGGCGAGGAGGAGCCGCGGGCGAGAGGGGCACGGGAGGGCGACTTGCGCGGCCCAGGGTGCCCAGGTCAGGGGTGCCCTCGGGTCTTGGCTGTCCCCGGTTGGGGTGTCCCGGGCCTGAGGACGTCCTGGCTCTGCGGTGTCCCTGGCACTGTGGGCATGGTGCCCTTCCGTGCCCCCCACTGGGGACAGCAGAGAAGTCCTGGTGCGCAGGCGGCGGGTGGTGGGCAGCCTGGGTGGGGCTGAGGGCCTGGGTGTGCCCAGGAAAGCTGAGCCCAAGCCAGGGGCAGCCTGCCCGGCCCTCTCCTCCCACCTCTGCTTCTCCTAGGGCTGTGTTTGCCCCTGGTACCAGGCCCCGTGCCCACGTGTGGGTGGCTGGGATGGCTCTCGAGCCAGGGCCAGGGCAGATGCTGGACCACCTGTGAGAGAGGGAAGATCGGGGACTCCTGAGCCGCTGCTGTCCACCCCTCCCAGCCCCAGCAGAGCCTGATTTTCCCCCGCCTCTGTCCCAGGCCCTGAGCCAGCCTGAGTTGTTACTTGAACAGGGCCTTGAACGCCCACAGGCTCCAAGTCTGGAAGCAGCTGCAGGTTGGCTGGGGAGGGCAGGGATCCTGACCACCTGATCCTTTCTGTCCCATGGCCGCCCCTTCTGACCCCCACCAGGGCACAAATCTGTTTCCCCCTAGCTGCTGTCACACACCATGGGGATAGGACCCTCAGTAACTGGCCCAGGAGCAGATCTCTGACCTTTGCCCGGACCCCCTTACCCCGATACCCATGAGACCCCCTGCTCCTCCATGCTCTGACTCAAGGTCCCAGCTCTGGCCCTGCGTGTCCCTGAGCCTCCAGACCACGCCAAGAACCCTGGCTCCCAGCCTCTCAAACTCTGGATGAGCAGGAATCTGGGTCTCATGCTGCACCCCACTCCTGTGTTGCTGGAGGCTTTGAGCCAGAGCAGGGCTCTCAGAGGGGCCTCCTGGCACACCAGGCCATTCCGCCCTCCACCTTCCGAGCCGACCCTAGCCTGGCCCCTCCAGTGCCACCTCCCCTCTCCACCTCCTAGGCATTCAGGGCCAGACTCCAGCTTCTCCTCCAGGCAGCCTTCCCTGACTGTTCCAGCCCGGTGGGCCTCCCTCCACCCTCCAGGTCGGGGCTGGGGGCTCTAGCTGCCCTCATTTCTCACAGCCCTCTGCAGGACGGAGCCCACAGGGCAAGAAGGGGCTCAGCCAGGACGGGGAGGCCAGGCTGGAGCGAGGGGCCGGTCTCTCCTGGCCCTGGAGTGGACACCGGGCAGCCCTGCTCCAGCCTACTGTGGAGCGGGGGGGGGGGGGGGTCTGGTCATAAAGCGGCTGCAAAGTTCAGGTTGAAGGCCTGAAGCCTTATCACTCCTGCTTATGGCTCTGACCTCAGCCTGGGAAGGGGAAATCTCTGAATAGGGAAGTGAAGAAGGAAAGAAAACTCAGTGTTTGGAGGAGGAAGTGTGTCCCAGGGTGCCTGCCAGGCCTTCCCTTCCCTCCCAGGACAGCAGACCCGGGGCTCCTCCCTGGGTGCAGCACAGGTGGGGGAAGGGCCCAGGGGCAAGCAGACTGGGCCCCACCAAGGGTCCTGGGCCAGGGATGTGCAGGGGCTGCCGAGAGGGAAGGTCCAGGTCCCCCTGGAGGAGCAGGATGGTGCCAACCATAAAACCATCTCCATTGGCCTGAGCCTAGGGAGAGGGGGGCCCCCAGCTCTCAGGGACAAAGGTGGTTCCTGGCACTGCAGGGCACTGGCCACCTACTCCTGAAGGCCCTGCCTGGCCACAGGCCCCTTGCTCCTGCCCCCACCCAGCTCTCCCAAGTCTCTGACCCCAAAGGCCACCCTGTGGGCCTTAGGAGACATGGCTGCAGCAAGCTCAGACTACCTGTTGGGGAGCAAAGCAATGGCCCCTGTGGGCTGCCTAGGCCAGGGACCCTGCCAGAAGATGGGGCTCTTGGGGAGGTTTCCAGCTCTATCCTGGTACACTGAGACTCATGGCTGGGCCTCAGTTTCCTCCTCTCAGAGGAAGCTGACAACTCTTGGCCCAGTGTGCAGGGGAAGTGGGCTGGGGAGGGCAGCTGCGGCTCCCAACCAGGTTCCATCTTCCTCTGGACTGGGCCCCAACTTCCCTGCAGCGCTGGCATCCCAGCAGCACTTCTGGGGCCAAGGAAGGAAGAAAGCGGTCAAAGTGGCAGGCGACCTGTACAAGAGGCCGTGCCTCCCCTCGGTGCCCAGTCTGGGAGCGGGGAGGGAGGTGCCCTGGAGAGTCCAGGCCCAGGGACGTGACGGGCCTCACACCACAGGAGCCCCAGCGCTGATCCAGCCAGGGCTGCAACACCATCACAGGCCTCGAGCCTGCCACCGCCTGCCAGTGCTGCACCCGCTGCAGGCCACAGCGAGGCCTGGCCAGTGACCTAGGGAACCTGGCCTTCTCCTCGAGGGTTTTCCTCTCTTCCACCTGACTGCCCAACACAGATGGGTTTTCCCTGCACCCAGGAGAACTGCAGCATGTACTGACTCCCACGCCTCACTTCACTTTGGAAGAAGAAAAGTTTTAATCTCCCCACCACATGTACGGGTGTTTGGGGTTTTATTTTGCTTGCTTTGCTTTTCTTTTAAAGTTTTCAAACAGATAAAGCAGGTAGAAAGAATAGTATCGTGAACATGCAAATACCCACTTCCTAGGTTTGACAAGTGTTAACATTTGACAATTGATGTTTGCATTATTTGCTTTTTTGGTTAGAGCATGTTGAGGTCGATTATAAACATCCTGACCTTTATCCCAAGTTATTTCAAGATGCAGATCTAAAACTAAAAGACGTTTGCCTGCATAACTGCGATACTATCATGGAACCTAACAAAATTCGAAGACGAGTTTCCTTCCTGTCTAATATTCCGCGTCCCCAAGTCTGCGCCCGAGGGCGGCACTGTGAGGTGGCAGGGTTGAGCTCACACACGTCCCCTTCTGTGTGACTCTGGAGGGCAGGGGAGTCTCTCTCTGGAAGTGCCCCCTCCTGTCTAACTGCACATCACGTTCTTCCTGCACAGCAGTTCACCGGGGAGAGGAGGTCACCAGCC